GGCACTCAGAGCCTGCTGTCAGAGCAGCTGAGCCTTGGTCTGGAAGTCCAGTGCTGGTGGAGAGCACGGCACTCAGAGCCTTCTGTCTCCCTCCGTTGACCTTTGTTCAGCTGGGGTTTTGTGTCTGCTAAGAGGGCAGGAAATTCCACGTGTGTCTGCTTAAGGTACAAGTAGAGTGAATCTGAATTTTATTAAATAAACCACCCATTCTGTTCCCTACTCAGTAAGTAGATTCGCTGTCCCACTTTTCCTCAGCTCCCACTACATTCCTGGAACTTGGCCTGATTCTTAGTATTTAGGGTGAGGCCAGGAAAGGGGCTGCTTCCCTAGGAGGACCCAGCGTCCAGGGCCCAGGTTAGCTCCCACTGTGTCCTGTCCGCCAAGGTTGGTTAGTCCTGCTGGGAGCTGCCCTGGTGCTTACCCAAGGATGGATGTGACTTGGAGGAAGCAGGCCTCAGGACAGAGATCTCAGGTGAGCCTGGTGGGGGTGCCATGGAGCTGAGGGGGCCTCTGTAGTTTGTGTGCCCGAGAGTGACAGGTCCGTCCTGCTGGGGACTGTGCAGAAGGGCTGGTGAGTTTCTCAGCATCCCACTCGGGGAGCAAAGCGGCTGCCCTTTCCCACCAGCTCTCCCTGTGTGGTCCCACTAGGCCCTTGATCCCTTGTGTTTCTCTTGGACACAGCCAGGGCAAAGAGAATCTCTGGTGTCCACAGGAAGACGTCAGTGAACTCCGGGTGTGGCTGACCTGGGGGCATGTGGCTCACCCTTGCTGGCCAGTGGGGGCAGCAGTAAAGGACACCAGTGTGATCTGTAACGTGACCTGCCCTCTCTAAGCTTCATGATTACTACAGCTGGAATCGGGGAGAGAGTCATTGGGAAAGGGTCCTCCTTGGCTCACTGTGGACTGAGACGGTGGGAGGAGAGAGGCCCCAGGCTGTCCTGAGGGCCACCCAGGCTGCTCTCATCCTGGGCCCACCATCCTCCTCTGTACCTGGGAGGTGGTGACGGGTCAGCAAACCCAGGGGCCACAGTTGCGTTTTCAGTGATGGCCACACTGAGAGACCTGCTGCCGAGCCCGGTACTGCTGTAGTGTCACAGATGGCCCTGGTCCCCAGGGCCGTCCAGACATAGTGGGTGTTGAGTGACTTTTAGTTGAATGGGGGAGGTGGCCTGTGGACGGGAGGAGACACCGGCAAAACTACACAAAAGGCTACCGTGAAGGCAGGTTAAGTGCCCAGCTTGAAGGGTGGCGCTGGGGTGGGAGCCCCAGAGCCCCCAGAACACAGCCATGCCCAGGTTC